GTGTGTGAAGCAATCAAGTGCAGCAAAACCAGCTAGGAGTTAGGGGTTACAGTTTGTGATGGATTAGCTGAGTACAAGGAAGATCGAGCACCTAAAGAAACCCAAGACTTCTGACAGTCTGCTCGATCTTGTGGCTGAAGGAAATTTCTTCATAGGATGACGCTGGCTTATGAAACAGTACATCTGCCTTCAGATGCATATTTTTCTTTTTAGACAAGGTTTCCAATTTTACTTGTATGCACTACAACTGTATGACTGTCTCCAGGTCTTAAAACTTCCTGGAAAGTCTTAGAACCCATTGACAGCACATGACCTTTTGCAGTCATACTTCATATCACTGTGGATCGTGTGATTTATCAACTGAATACTTGAGTATTATTTAACAATAAACACATTGCTTCTGGGCGTGAGGGTGTTTTTCTGCTGTTGGGCAGATTGGAAGACTACTCTTTCTAAATGATTCTTGGCATTGTGGCCTTATGCTGTGTCACCATCCTCTTTCCATCTTGGCTCTCCTTTAAGGAAAGATAATTCATTATTGATGCTGTTCAGCTATCCAGCTATAGGCCACAATGTTCTAAGTCATGGCTGGTGTATTTTTAAGACTTCTTCAAATACTCGAATGGCACAGGTCACATTATTCTGATAGAGGATGTTTCCACAGGAGTTTTGTGAGGTATGGGTCAGAAGTATAACTGCTTTTTTCAGCCTGTCAGAAGAAACTGGTAAGAAATGTATCTCCTGTAATTTGGAAGTTGCACTCTTGTAAAGAGCAGGCTTGACTACCAGTACAGAAACTACTAGGCTGTGCTGTCCTGGTGAGTGGTGTATTACTTGTTAGTGATCCTAACCTTTGGATTAAGTAAACCAACACTTGGCACTTCTGTTAGTGCTAATCTAGGTAAAAAAGACTGTGATAAGACACGTTACGTAGCTTGGCTTGAAGGAAATACTGTGGTGAGACTGACCCTTCTTCACGTCTCTGATAATGTCTGTAGAGTTATGGTGAGCTAATGATGTGGAAAGCAGCTAAAAGAGCTGGAGTAGTGTTTTATTCAGCATGGGTAAAATTAGCGGCCTCTTCAATATGTACTTTTGTGTATCTAGTAATGAATTTTTTTGTATGTATGCCAAGTATTCCCAAAGCGTTCTTGAAAATGCAAAGCTCAGGAGGATAGGCTGTCAACCCTATAAATAAGCCAGACTTTGATTTTGCTGTAGACGCAGTATCATGTAGCAAAAAAAAAAAAAACCCACCCCAAACCAAACTTTTCCTTTCTTCACACTTAAGTGGAATCTCCTTGTTATTCTCTTAGTGATTACAAAAATACTCAAGTTTTTAGCTTGTATTCTAAGACCATTTACTGAAAAGCAATATCTGTGATTCTGACTTATAAAGCTCAGCATACTGTTACAGAAGACTGCTGTCATGCTGTGTCCAAGGAATGACTCTTTTGTAACCATTAAAATGCTTTATTTCCAAATTGACACTGGTTCCTTCATGGTGTGTTGCTGATCATGCACATTATGCTGTGTAAAAAGCATGGAGCTGTTCAAAATAGTTTGAAATGTAGTCATTGGCGTGTCAGAACAGAAGTTTACTGTGTGATTGCTTAGGTGAGGAGCTAGCACGGAGATAGAGCTAAGCCTGGCTCCTTGATAAATTCTCACATGGAAAACTTGTGTGCCTGTGTGTGGACCAACAGAGATGATGAAAAGCAGTTGTATTAAAATGAAAATTATCTGGTCTTGCTATTGAGCAAATAAGTATCTCTGCAAAGGCTGAACCTCTGCTACTTGCAGAAAAAATACTCCTTCAGAAGAATACCATGAACCTACTGTAAGGCACAAGAATATCCTAATGCAGCTGTCACAGCAATGTTATGGCTCAGAGTAGATCAAAATATTGTATCTGAGATAGCTAGAAAAAGCCCTCAAAAATTACTAGATCCAGGGGATCTTTGTTGTTTTCAAGAATCTAATGAGTGGGTGGTTTTTTTGTTTGGTTGTTTTTTTTTTTTTTTTACTACTTCTGTAACATAAAACCATGAAACTTGCCATGCTGGGATTTTTGAAAAGTAAAATGCCCGGTTTCATTCTTGGCATGGTGGGCAATTTGGGAATAATTTAGTCTCATATTACATAAAACACAGAAATAATTCCATATGTTATGGACTTAAAAAAAAAAAAAAATAGGCTTTTTATTTGAGCTGTGTTACCAACAAACTTGAATTCACCTCCTGAAAATGAGGTCAATTCTGCCATCACTTTCGTACTTAAGGGCAGGCACTACTCCATCCAGTGGCATGGGAATGCAGGTGGTTCTAGGCTTCTTTACCAAAAATTGGTGAAATGCTGCATTGGCAAATTACTATTTTCTGCGATGCAAATCTAGAGTAATAAGGCTTTACAGTGTCTTCAGTAGGCTGTGAATGTGATGTAGAAAGCCTGCAATGTTTATGAAGGCGTAGTTTGAGAATGGAGAGAACGTGAATCCATGCAGCTGATGACTTACACTTTACATCACTTAAATTTGAGAGTAAATTCAAATATTTGTATCCATCGTGTGTATGAATAAATGATATTCATAGTATGGCAGCTAATCTGTTTATTTAAATGCTATTATTCCACTGTCTGTAGTAATTCAGCCAGCCTGTTCTGTGTTTCTAACTCTCTCCTATAAAGCAGCAAAAATCATCTTCCTTGTTTAATTTTCATGTGCAAATTGAAGTAGGATGACTAATTCCATATACGTGTAGTTTGCTTACAGAACTTATGTACGTTCCTCACTATGTGTGACTCGGGACAGTGTCTAGTAGTGTCCTGCTTGTATGAACTGCCTCATCTCCAAAGTACTTCTAATTAAAGCTGCTTAAGAGTATTAGGGAAGAATGCCACCTGGAGGTAATAGAAATGAATAGGTGGCTGAATGGTACAAAAATTCAGCTTAAGTTGCTTTCAGAGTTCTGCCCGGCGCTATCTGACAGGGGTGCTGAGAAAGCTGCATGCTGTGCAGAGTTCAAGAGGGGATGCAGCAAATGGGCAGAGGGAACAGGCGGAGTATGTCTTATCAGGGAGCAATGGGAAACACGGCCACGAGGAGGAAGAGAGGAGCAGAGTTGGGTAGAGCTTTCCAAGAGAAAACTGAGGGCCTTCGCTGTAATGAAAAATAAGGATGATGTCCAGGTGGTGCCTGTAGGCAGAGCGATTACCAAGGGAATGAATTCAACTGCTGCTTTTCTGAACTAAAAGAGGAACAAAATTTGGCTTTTAAAAAGATGATTGCTGTCATTCGGAGAAAGCTAGTGAAAGCATACAAGCTTGGCAGAAGGATTGAAAAGGAAGGGGCAGGTTCAGAGAAACTATGGGAAGGAGAGGGATGGGATCTCGCAGTCTGAAACCAGACAAAAAGGAAGAAACTGAGCAGAGCAGCACAAGGGCAAGCCCTGGGAGGCAACAGGCAACACCTGTTTGCAAAAAAAAAAATGTTTAGAAGTCTGCATGCATCTTGAAGCTCCATTTAATTTGTTGTTCAGATTGTCAGTCACAAATTCTGGAGTAATTATAGTGGTTACTAAAAGAGATGAAACCTTGAATTATTTTGTGGGCAAACAAAGACTGCATTTAATGACTCATATACAATTAGGCAGGCTGCTAGTATGGCGGAAGGAATGTCCAGAATCTCCTATATAATCTTCACAGAGAGGCTCCATTTTGTGCTTGAGTTATAATATTTACCTGAAGGGAGATTTTTTTGATACCTCGTACTGTTATAGGAGCTGACTGATGTTATAGCAAGGTCTTTGTGCCTTTTCTGGTCTCAAGCATCAATCCCTATCTACCTTCTCAAAAATGGTAGGAATCATACTAAATGTAGTATTCCCCTTGAATTGTGTACTTTATTCTAAACATTTTTTACAAAGACTGATTATGCTGATATAGCTGTGGAGTTTTCAGAACTTGTCGCCTCACCTTAACTTTTAAACTGAACTCTTCCAGGCATCAAACCAGGAAAAATAACCTTAAGTTTTAAATTAAAGTTTAAATTACTTATGATGGAAACTAATCGTTAATGTCTCTATCTTAAACTACGTTATTTAAATCTTGTTTATACATTCTGTGTAATGGAATAAGGTCTTAACTAGCAATAAATACCTAAAAGTCATATATATTGCAGATTCACAGGATTCTGAAATAGGTGTCTGAAATAGTTTATTGCAAAAGTGGTATTAATTGTTGTCTAACTTGTAGACAAAATGGCCATGTCCTTACTGTTGTGGTTGGTTTAATTTTAATTATGGTCTTATTAGGGAAATGTCTACCAAATTACTTTAAATACATAAAAAGTCCATCCATACAATGGACTGAGAAATTCTGCAGAATGCTGGGCTTTCACAGTACAGTTAAGACAGGTAATATTCTCCTGATACTGAGCATGAACGAAAAGCTATGCTCTCTGCAGGAGTTGGTTACAACTTCAAATTTGGAAGTTTGGAGATAATTGGTCTTTGTCACACAGGCTGGATTGATACGAATTGGTAAGAAATCCTCTGAAGTCCATTTAATTTACAAGCTGTTTCCTAAAATTAAATTTAAAAGCTGCCATGTTTCTGAAATCATGCACTTGTACTGGAAAGACTTTTAAACTGTCTCTACAATGAAACAAGTAGGACTAGCCACATAGGGTCAGTAAAAAATTTAGAATGAAAGATGAAGGGGAAAAAAAAAAAGTAAAACAATCTCCTTTTTCAATTTCAAAATAATAGTACTTTAACTTTCTAATTAGAAAAAGGACAGGCTAGAAAAGACAGAAAAAGGCTAGTTTCCTAGTTTCTCCATCACATTTTCATAACAACAAAGCTTTCCTAAATAGAAGAGAACTTCTCTAGATTTCCCAGAGACTTTCAAAAATTCCACTCAAAAGTGGCATTTCACTTTTTAGAGTGATAAGTGAGATAGGGAGTATCTTGTAAAAATCGAAAGTAAAATCAGAAAGACTGTCAGTGATGCCCAAAAATGTAGGTAGTTCCTGGGAAGAGCACCACAGACATATACTGAGATAAATCATAACAACTGTAAAATGTATCCAGTACAATGGCATTAAAGATATATAGACCATTATAGGGAGGGAAAATGATCTTATTTTTATCTCCATCGGGAACCTGATACTTGATTGAGGGCCACTTTAATTCAAGTCCATTTCTGTCCTTACAGCTCATGTAGTTTCTTCTGGTCCATGCAGTATTTGGATCTGGAGACTCCTGTTCCTCTAACAAAAAAGTCCAATTTTGAGGTTGAGAGATGCAGTGGGCATCATGCGCAGTCAAAACATGATCATGGTTATGCATTCCATTTATATCAAACAGAACAAATTCAGCAGGGACGTGCTCCTGAAATCTATTTTTTTTTTCCCCATGACTCAAAGATTTGCACCCAAGGATTTTTGTAATATACCGGAAGAGGACATCCCAGATTTGTAAAGTTGTAGTTGATCTGTAGATCGTCCTGCTGTATATGTTTTCTGGCAAGAAAGTCTGAGTTGTATATGTTATGGCTGATTGTATAACTGAAATTATTTCTCAGTGCTGCTTCCTGAATGAGGCTTTTGTCACATGCTGTTACATGTTTTACAATTCTGATGTGCTTTGTAGGTGGACAAGCCACTGCAACATGTGCAGTCAGGGGAGCCACATCAGTACAACCGATTGGGTTGTCAGGGATGTCCACAGTGACAGCAGACATCTCTCCATCACGTACGCCATCGCAGAAGTCAGCGCCTGCAAATTCAGAGAAATACTGCTGATCCTGAACTATATGCAAGAGGTATTTGGTGTTTCTGCCATATGTAAATTGCACCTCTATTACACATGCACTGAAAGCCAGCACATGGGGGTTGCTCACTGACCTCTTCCCTGGGTTGGGCACAAATATGGCCTTCAAAGTCAGACTTTCATGCATGTCAATGTAATATATCTTGTTCCAGAAGTCTCCTGTGAGGATCTCCACACTGCAGGACTGCTGAGATCCCCAGACTGCTAACTGCAAGTTGAGCTTGCATTTATTGAAGTCATACAGCTGAGTGCTGAGTGAAATTGCTAGTCACAGGGCTGAGTAAGGTCAACCACCCTCTTTCTTCAAACAGCATCCCTGTGTTTTTCAAATCTATGCTCTCATCCCTGGCAATGTGCACCATGCTAGTGACCCGGCTGATGCTGCTGTAGAAGAGTTGTCTGTCCTGGGTCAAGACTGTAATCTGGCAGCTGCTAGCAGTCACAAGTAAGAAACCGCTGTCAGGGAAGGCAGTGCTTTGAAAGGTCTCCAAGGCATGACTGTCACTTCTTCCATGATCAAGCCATTGTTGGCCGATAGAAATGAAGTATCTGTTGTCCAGAGGGTGATGAAACCCCTCAAGGCAAGATTCTGGATACTCCAAAGCTTATCAGGGCCTTTGGGCAGCAGGTGGAAGGTGGTAGAGATGTGGTTGGACACATGGCTGGTTTTGGTACCATTGTACCTGAAATAGGTCCCTGCTGCCTTCCCTGCCCCATCCTCTCCTCTTCTGTCAATCAGCAGGCTGGTCATGGCAAAGGAGATGAAGTTGTAGACCCTGAGCAGCACTCCTTGCTCTCTTGTACTAGTCTCAAAGCATGTAAACATGTAGCCCCCATCCTGTGAAAGGAAGATATGGCTGTTGGAGACTGAGCGCCTGCTGTCGTAAGCAAAAAGGGTCCAGCTGAGATTGCACTGGGGGTCTGCTCCTGTGTAGCAGTAGGTGTTTGAGAGTTTGGACATGGGGGACGTGACTCCTGCCTGATGGGACCTACCTGTTGAGGCTCTTGACATACATGTAGGCCTGGCTGTTCACCACCACCGAGATCCTGTCCTTGTGCACGAATGTGATGGCGCTGACAATAGCTTCCTTAGCCTCAAGCTCGTCTGGGATGGAGAGTGGGGAGAGGCTGCTCTCAAAAGCATCCAGGCTGATGAAAACATCCTTCCCCAGGTACATTGCCGCCTTTGGCTCCCCTTTGTCAGGACCATGCCCCTTGCAGTAGTGCTGCAGGACCATGGGGCTGCTGCCACCATAGCTCACGTGGATGCTTCTTGTTGGGTTCGCATTGTGGCCAAAACGTACTGAGTATGCCAGCTGTGCATGGCTGCAACCCAAGCCACCCCCATGGCCACACAAGCAGAGCCACAGACACAGGCTGGCCACCAGCGCTCGCCAGGGCTGAGGCGCCATGTCTCGTGTGGCTGAGGGCCAGTGGTGGTAGTTGGGGTGGGACTGGGGCTTCCCCTGGTGAGGCTTACGCGGTGGTTAGTCTGCTTGCCCCCCATCTGAGAGCCTTTTCTGTTAACAGTTGCGGAGGGCAAAGGCGGAGGAAGCGATGGTAACTGCCCTGGGTGCTGCCGAGGGGACGTGCTGAGGGGAGGAATTTTAAAATGAAGAGGACCTGCCTTCAAAGGGGTCTTCTTCAGCAGGTGGGTTTCCTCATAGACCTTCTCTGCCATTGCCTGAGCATAGGGAAGGTATTTTTGTTAAGCAGCTGCACTATATGGCTTCATTTCTGGGTGGTGGTTGGCAGGTTTTTTAATGTGAAATTAAATCTGCATATATATGTGATCCAAGCTTAGGTCTGAGTGCAGCCTTCGCTGTCCCCTTGCAGGACAGCCGTTAACCACAGGTGCTGGGGGTCTGCATCCTGTGTCTCACAAGGTGACCTGGGGTGCATCCCACATATTCACTGATGCCCAGAGGGCAGCAGCACGGTCCGTCACCAGGCCGTGCCTTTGATCACATGTAGTGTTCAGATAGCCAAGGGAACCGAGACAGGTTAGAGACCTGCATGTCTAGATAGTGATTTTATCCGAATTATCGAGGGGGGAGGGGAACAGTCCACAACCACGCTTTTTTACTGGGTCTTACGATGCTACCAGCTCTCCTTCAACCATCTGAAGCTTAAGCCCTGTCCGAATTAACCGCTAGCTATTGCTATTAATTGCACAGAAGATATTGGCAGTCCTTGGCAGGACGGGGTGTTTCTCCCTCCAGCAGCATCAGGGCAGTGCTGCAACAGGTAGAGGGGAAAGGGATGGCATTGCCCAGCCCTGTGGAAGCGGGAGGTGGGAGCTGCGACAGGAGCATTGCATACCTCCTCAGTTATGCAATAGTTTTCTCTCTGACACTGAGAAATATATTTAGTGCTTCTGTCACATTACTACTCTTCATATCTTTTCTTATGGCAGCGGGAAATTGGAAGATTGCTTGATTCTGCTGTTGCCTACTGTATTCACAGCACATTTTATCAACAGCTTTGTGAGATTTATCTACGTTGTCTTTAGTATTGAATTCCTGTCTCAGGTGCCATGGGAAATATATGGAAATTGCATTGCTGAGTATAGGTGACTGCTCTACTTTCGTATTCAAATTAAACGAGTTGAGCACTGCTGCCATCTAGTGCTTTCTGCTTCTAAACGTCTGTTCTGTCTCATCAGTAGGTAGACATCACTTTTTTTTTTCTTCTCAGAGCTGGATAATGGAGGTGCCAGAAGGTCCAAACTAGCTGCAGGAGAGACTGTGGGATCTAGGAGTCTCTCAGTCAACCTCTGTGTGTGAGACACCTGGAGGAATTGGCTACTAGAGGGACCAGGAGGTCCAGGCCTACTATTGTGGAGACCGTGGGGCCTGGAGGTCGACCAAGAGACCCATCTGTCTGTCTCTGTATGCAAAGCAACTGGAGATGAGAGGCTATAAGGGTCAGCTGCTGAGTAGACTGTCTAAAGGCAGTTACTGGAGGGACCCACAGTGTGTGTATATGTCTGTATGTGTGCTGCAGCGTGCAAGAGGGCTCCTTTGTACCAGCAACTGGAGTAGGGCTGTGGGCATTGGGTGCTCACCTGCCTAGATGCCTGCAGCTGGGGGCGATCGAGGATCCAAGAGCCAGCTACTGGGTAAACCAAGTGTTTAAAGGTGCTTGCTGGGGTATCCATAGAGTCCTTCTGCATATATGTGTGGGTAGTTGGGAGTGAGGGGGTGTGCCTCAGCAAGTGGAGTGGGGCTGTGGCCCTTGGGGCTTGCATTGTTCACGTGTCAGCAGCTGGGGAGACCTGGGATTCAGGGGCCAGATACTGGACAGCCTGAGTGTGCGAGGCCAGCTGCTGGAAGGGTCCACACTGTGTGTCTTTCCCACTAGCAGATCTTCATCCTGATCAGCCATTTGTGTTTGTGTGACTGCTATGTTTTCTTTCTGTTTCTATCTGTGGGGCTGGCCACATGTAACGTGTATTATATGCACGTGTCAGCGTATGCCTAAACGTGCTCAACCTTACTACTGGCTGCAGCTGAGAGCATGGAGGTGCAGTAGCCTTGCCTCTACCAGGACAGATTCAGCAACTCCTAACAGCATTTCAGTAGCATTCAAAACTTCAGGTAAAAGAAAGAGGCGTGTGTGTGTAATGTAGAGAGAGCTTGGTTCTATAATTAGAAACTTATCAATAGAAATATTGAAGATCTATTTCCCTCCCACTGAGTCCTTACATAGAAAGCCAAATAGTATTATTATCCTTCATGTTGTAGATAAATATTACTGACTCTAAGGGTTCAAGACCTGAAACTGACAAAGGAAATGAGCACTGATTCACTTTCAGGTTTGACTATGACTAGGTTTTGCTCGGATACAAATTCTCTAGTGACCTGTGCCTCAAAACATCGTCTTTTCTGTAATGAGGATTATGTGTTCCTTGGTTAATATGCTTTTAAACACTTTAGTCCTAGCTTTGTTTACTAAGCAGCTTGGGAGTCCTCCTGGAATTATTGGTCTTCCCTCAGGACAAAATACATCGGAAGATTCCCTAAACTATGTCTATGAGCGCAATTTCTTGTTTGGGAAAAGTTCTTAGTGTTAGGAAGTGATACTGTTTCTTGAAACATATATTCAACTGCACTTTGATTTCAGTTTTGAAATAGGGATTTGCTAGATTCAGCAGCAGAATACAGAGGTTCAGAGTAACTGTTCTTTGCCAGTTACTTTTGTGTGGTGCTCCAGAAGAAACACAGAAGGTGCCAATATAAAAATAGAAGAATTTTCACTTTTAGTGTTGGCTTTCATTATTTAAACCTGAGGTCACAATAGCTACATAGTGTGAGGAAGCTCAGTGATATACCAAAGCTTTCTCACTAATCTAAAGTAAGTTTTCCCTCCACTGACTAAACTACAAAATCGACATTTCTATTATTCTTCAGCTGTAAAATGCAAGTACGGCTGCCTTACTGAAAACAGTCACCGTGCCCGTGAGAGTGCTTGGAGGAGAATGAAATAATGTGTGGTACAATCACAGCTATGCTCAGATTAATGGGAACAGAATTAATCTTCAACTTTGTTCCCAAAGACAGTCATGAAATATAAAGCCAGGCGTCCAACTTTACTCAAAAGATTTAATTTTGAAGCTCACCTTCTAATTCAGTATCTACTGTGATATAGAGCTGTCTATACTAAAGTGTCATCTAGGCCAGGTTTCAAAAGTCAGGTCTCTGAACTGCAATGGATACAGTAGACACTCCTGGATGTTTTTCAATTATTCTACTCTTACTCCAGTGAGATAAGGGATTATTTCTGAGTATACTAAAATATAAAGATGTTTGCAGTAATGGAAATCCACTGACGGAACTTCAGCCTTTTTTCATATGCACATTGCCATTATCTCAGTCACTTGAAATCTTAACGTTTGCTGTCTTTTCAAAATTACCCTTGAATAATGTAATGGACAAAATTACTTCTATAGAGTAAAAACTAAACTGTAACATAAGATAATAATTTTCTCAACACTTCTGTTTTTAAAACCATGAATGCTGATTAAACATATTCCAGGACTGAGTGATTTCCTGATCCCATTTAAATCAAGATTTATTTACTCTGCATTTCTATCAGTTTACAGGAGTAAATCATTAATTTGTAAAATGTCACTCGGCTAATGAGTTCTGCTAATTGCTTTAGTGGTAGCTGAAAAAGTGAAAAATTAACATGGTTTAAAAAGCATTGCTTATAGACTATAGCAGTGTATAAATCAATTCAGCTGATGCTTGCAAACATTGTTCCTTTGGGTTTTCCTCTTTTTGAGTTAGAATAGATGTGGTGTTCACCTCTTGATAATTGTGGCACAGTTCCTTACCCTGTTTCCTCCAGGATGATGAAAATTCTGCTCCAAAAAAGACTGTAACTGTAGATTTTTACTTACTGAAGGAAATAACTTAGTGATGGTCTTTAAACAGGTGCCTCATGATCCCTAGGTATTTTGAAGCCCTAGAATGAAGGAGGTACTTCTGTATGTTGAGGAAGTTGCAGAGGAAGTAACAGCCACTTCTGACCAAGAAAATAAATACTTCCTGAAATTCACAGGCAAAATATTTATTTCTTCCTATGCTTGTGAAGAAACCACCAGGCGATATGCCCAGCTTCCCTCCCTCTCCCTGCAGATGCTACTGTCGGGGGCAGGCCAGAGGGAGAGACAAGAATGTGCCTGGGACACGGGCTCCACTTCTTGTAGTTGCTGACGCACAGGGTGAGATTAATGACGTTTGCTCTTGCAGTTAGAGCCTGAGCTCTCGGACCCAGATGATACTTTGAGACTCTCAGCTTTTTGTAATATGCACTGGTAGCTCTCATGATGTCAGGGAAACACTTCAATATGTGATCTGAGTGTACCAAAAGCTCTGCAGCCATAAGACAGGCTTAAAAACAAAATAAAACTTAAAAAATCCCTCCCTATTGCAATGCCATGGGCAACTGAAGGGAGCTGCTGGAGAAAGGAAAGGGCAGTGGCAGCTCAGACCACTTCTGGCTCTGCTTGGGAGGAACAGTGGGAGGCCCATGAGGGAAGACTGCCCCAGAAAGTTTTCCTGCTGTGACAGAACCGATTGAACGCATCAGTCAAGTTAAGGGGACAAGGCTCAGGAATCACAACTAATACAATTTTTCATCTTAACATCTGTCCTTAAGGATCACAGTTTTTATTCTCCAGACCACAGAGGGGAGATGTCACTGCCTTAGAGGTTTGTGTTCTGTTTCTGGCTGCTTTTCAAATCCACTCTTCGTCTGTATGTCAAATGAGCCCTAAGCATTCTGGATGAATTGTATCCTCAGCTACACTAAAAACACTATTAAATTTAATTATTCTTTTATAGATGCAAATTAAAGCAGAATGTTTCTTTAACTTATTGAAATGCCATTTCGAAATATATGTATT